CCTCAGAAAGTCAGGAAATCCACCAATCATAAACAATTTTCACATTGTCTTAACAAGATAAGAACTAGTACCCTGTAATAAAAAAAAAAAAAACTATGAAGCTGTCCAATCTTTCAATCCAATGACCCCATTTAGTATAACCTCATATAATAGCTCTATATTTAATTTGATTGTGAACAGAGACAAGTAGACAACGGAGCCATGGATCAGAGAGTACTACTATACCTTGCACCCTTGGAATGTTGAAGTTTATAATACCTGCATGATGGCCCAAGTTTTCAACTGTGGCCCAGAATCACCAAGACAAGATAAACTAAATTGCTTTTCTTCAATTCTTGATCCAGACAAGTTACCAGGATGACCAGGGGAGATGTTGAAGCAAGGGAACAAGTTAAGTTGTCTAATGAGCCTTTCAGCCTGAGCTTTTGGGAAATTTAAGGTTGAAGAGGACAAGGAAAGCTTCCGATGACTTTCGTTAGCATATGCAAAAGGAATTAAGGTTGGAGAAGCGATCAAAAGGAGCTGAAAAAGAGAAAGAAAAAAGAGGAAAGGCCATAATGTCTTGGAATGTTGGTTTTTCTTGGGAGGAAACTGAATTATGAGCTTCGATCGATGGGATGAATTTATATAGATTTCAGGCTTACAAGTTAGAAAGTTGAGTAAGAAGTGCATTGTATTAGTTGGTACGTGGCTGTTGGGATATATAAAGAAAGATGAGAAGAAAGGAAAGGAGGGAGAAGAAAGTGGAAGAAATTGGGCGGGGATGCTAACGGCCGGTTAGTTATGATGCTGTTTGAATTGATTTACAACTTTTTGGGATCTTTGTAGACTTTTAAAAAAGTATGGGGTCATATCAAGCCAAAACAGAAATAATTTAAAATAGGATGTGGTGACAGAAGAATGGCTTTCATTTTTACCAATGGCAGCATTAGTTTTGAGATAAATGGACAAACTACCTCAACTACTATAAGGCCAATATGAAAGTTAACTTTATTGTTTTTTTGAAAAAATTGTTCAAAGCATCACTTGTATTTTTTTTAAATGGATTTTTTCATTCTTTACTTTTAAAATATTAATTTTACGTCCCCTATAAATTTAAATTAGTAAAATTTAGTCTAACTTAAGTTTTCGATGACTTTTTAGACCTGAAATCACCATGTGATGCATATACAGTGATTTTTTTTAGTGGCAAAAATGAATATAAGTTGGATCTAACTCCACTTTTTTAGGAGAAAAATGAATATAATTGGGGTCAGATTCTATTTTTTTTAGGACAGAAATAAATATGGATCAGGTTATTTATTTAATTACAAATGGGATATAACTTTTTTGTCCCTTAACAATGATCATATGTAGGCTGTGTGATGAAATCAAGTAAAAAGTAGTTGAAAACCTAAGTTAAGAACAATGTTTACCGACTTGATTTTGTAAGGGATATAAAGCTACCTATTTAAAAGTGAAGGACGAAAGAATTCATTTAGCAAAATGTGAGAGATGTTTTGAATGATTTTGCCTTGTTTTTTTATTTTACGCTCTCTTTTCAGATTTTTTCAAGTTATTTTTAGCTATTATGCTCTATGTTTTAATTTCTATAACCCCCCATAGGTGAAATATACATTCACCAGTTCAATTTGAGTCATTGGTGGAAAAAAATAATAATTTTTGTGTGGCATTAAAATTTTATTGGGCGGTCGCTGTAAATTAATAACTTGAAAACAGATATTAATATAGGAAAAAAACTTATGAAGGCCAGTATGCTCATGGCTCATTGTCTAGTTTTCAATTTTCTATGGTGAAAAGTTCATTCGAGTGAAATGAGATTGTTATGGTTGCCCTCTAAGAAAAGCAACAAGACAATGTGCATCCCACCTTACGCCCCACAACCAAATTCTTCTAAAATCTACACTACATTCAAGAGTTGTTAAGCAGTTTACTCTATGGAGTACATATAATCATCAATGCACTTTATGAATTAGATGCCATAGGAACTGTTTTGTACTGGATCTTATAGTCTGAACCAGAGATGCTTCATTGAATCCAAACAATGCATCTACTGATCCATGCATGAATAAATTGGTTCACACATTCAAGAACTACATTCTTGGTCTTTAAAGGTCCAAGTAAATGTCTCCTTGAACTATCTTAAAATGATGTTCTTTCATATGTTCATTTCTATTTGATGGCTACACCACCCATATCAAGTGGTAATGTCTCAGCTGGCAAAGCGATGGGGAGCCATTTTCAACGCCAGCCATTCCCATTTTCATGAAAACTTGAAAAGATGAACAAAAGCTTAGTTCTTTCATATGCAGAAAAAAAAAAAAAAAAAAAAAAAGAGGAGTTGTAATTAATATACGTTAATCTGGCATTAGCTCATATAGGAACGGAAAAATGAAAAAGCCATTTTAGTAACCACTAATGAATTCTCAATGAAAATATAACATGATTAGTGGTCATGATCAAAATTAATAGTTTCGTTCAAAGAGCTTTTGCTCATAATGATGTACCATCTGATAACAGGTGGAGGCATAATGACATAGAAAGATGACATTGCATATATAATAAAAAGATTTTTTAAAAAATGGGGAAGAAAGAAATAATGGGTCCGAGATATTGGTTAATCAAGCGCAACAAAATGTGAGGAAGAATATTAATTGCATTCTGTCAAAGAATTTTGATAAGTAAAAAATCAAACCCTTATCATTCTAAACTCAAACCGTAGCTAGAATATAATCAGACTACTAGAACATCTATGAACAAGTTAGTTGAGATTCTAACCAACAAATGTCCAAGATGACTTAAAAAAATTGTATCCATTGCACCGGCGACTCTCAGAATAAAAGGGCTTGTAAATCTTTATTAAATGCATCCACCATATGAACAAGAAATCAATGATGTTATGAATTCCAGTGATCATATTTCAATCTTGAATCACAATGACAAAGAACTGCCCGTATTCAATTAGTTCGTCTGGCAACTTTCTATTTCGAACTATTCTTTTTTAGAAAAAAGTTTGAGTGAGTTCGGTCACACCTAGCATGTCTCAGTGACTTATAGAAGTTCTTACAGATCATTCACCAATACATAATCTTTTATGAGAAAGTAATTCGTTCTTACCAATTGAGCTAACTTGTATTAGCGAACTCGTCTATCTATGCTATATGTAGTTCCTGAAAGTTTTCAACTGGAACATGGTGTATTGGCAATAATTTGACATGAGGCCATCTTTCAGTTTGAGCTCCCCTCAACTTTCTCATGTGTCCTTTATCGTTTTCTCCAATTGCTTTATTCAACGTTAAGGTGCTCTTATGATATTTCTTGCGTGCTTGCTTTTTTTTTTAAGCCTTCACGAAATCCCAATGAATGAATCTCCAGTTATCATGTTACTCTGATTATTCTTTTGGCTTACTCCTCTTAGATAAATATCACATTACTCATGTAATCCTAATGAGTTTGTCATGTTCTATCAAATTGATCTAGATAACTACCAAAAGTAGAAGGTTTTATGTTTATTAGGAAAAGTGTCGTACATGTAACAAAACACACACATAAAAAGGCAAGATATTGGCTGAAATTAGATTGGCTTCAAGTGTCGTGCCAAGAAAAAGAACAATTCTACGCTTAAACAACAAACACAAACTAAAAGATGACGTTAAAAATTACTTTATTTATGTCTATCATTTAGAAAATCGTGTTATTCAGTCACTCTGTGTAGGTGGACTCCTTAAAAAGAGTAATTTATGCTCACTCACAAATTATTGTCATAGACAGTGCAATCTAATTGAAGACATAATATAATGGTCTATAAATTGCTAGTTTAAGCAAAGGTATTTTTGAAGTTTGACGCTTGTAGTGGCTTTCAAGACTACACTTTCGTGTCAACGTGAACTCACAAACCCGATACATAAATGGACTAGCCCACCTTTACCTACTTGATCGATTGCATTGGTCTCTTTTAAACTGCTACCGAGCTAAAAACTTTTTGCGTTTTACCTAACTCGATTAGATTGGTGTCTTCCAAACAGCTACTGTGGCTAAAAATTCTTAAAAGGCAGTTAGAACTTGGAAACAGAAGTCAACAGAACAAATCTTGTAACCTTTAGGACCAAAATTCAGAAAGGTCTTTAACTACCATGTAATCCTGTCCAGTTGCCTGTTGAAAGTAGAAGCAGAAAAGCAATATAAACTGCCCTTTTAGTCAGTGGACATCAGAGAGGGCAAAACTCTTCTTGCGTCACCGTTTATTTACTTGCGAAAAATTGCTTTGAAAATATCAATTACAAGCATTATGTGTACTTGTCATCAAAAATAGAATGGTTAATAGCATTGGCACAGGACTGAATTTTGTAGGTGACAAAATTAAGCTGAAAGCAAGAATGCATAGCGAAAGAGTGAAGCATGTTTTTAGCTTCAAAAGTGCTCAATCAAGAATAAGTAGTTGTTAATTGGTACTCCCCAGCTGCAATGTTGCCACTTCACTGAAAGGAAAACTGCCAATCCCTCCTCTTGATTTCCCTATGAATGTTATAACAATAGGAATAACTTAAAGTCTCTGGTAAATGACAAAATTAAGCGTCTCTTTTAATCTAAGATTTGTAAGCATTCCAATTCCTCGGTACATTTTGTTATTCCAAACATGTCGTGTATGCTGCTGCGCGTTCACTTGGCAGAAGGATAGACTTATTCTGGTGCGTATCATATTTATATGACAATCTGCCTTTACAAATATTTAGTTTTGCACCCCACGATAATTTACCACTACTACTATCCAGAAAATCATACGTACTTATTGAACTTTGTTTCTGTCCTGAAGCAACTTCATTATTTTCTCATCTAGTCCACTTGAGCACCCCAAAAAAAAAAAAAACTCCAGCCGAGCCATGAAACACCAAAATTGAGGGGTAAGCCAATAAACTAAGAAGACACTGGATTACGCCAATCCAATTTTACAGAATTTTGGGCTTTTTTCATTTGGAAGTGATGCAGATTTTAGATCATCATTCTCTCGCAAGGTCAAAGGGCACGATGGTATTCGGGATCAAGCAAAAACGTGCATTATCATATATACACAGCAGCTAGGGTTGTCCTTCTAACAAGAGCCCATTCTTGTACAACACGTAATGTTTTTCACATCTTCTGTCTTCCGATCTGCGATAGGAATAATATGGCTGCAGCCTCTCAAACGTTGGCATGCATTAATCAATACAATACTTCTACATTCTCAGGGACACTGGGATGTGGGCGGACAATATGAGGTTCAAGTTATGATCTAACTTTGGCGAGACGCGCCCTAATTTCTTCAAGCTCTTCCTCATCATCCTCCTGCAGCATGACACCAGAAGAAATTCTCCTTTTAACTTATTTCAGAAGAGAAAGGAACAAGCATGGCAAAGAATTAGATCAAGTATGGGTCGTTTCGTACCTCTACATCTTCCTGGGCAGGCTGCTTCAACCTCTCCTTCCTGACTGCTTCGGGAAGCTGTGCAGCAGTCTCACCAGCAATAGCAGTCAAGACCTTGTCAACTTCTTCTTCAGTCTCCTCTTCAATGTCTTCTGAATCCAGGGCATTGTCCACGGCATCATTCACAAGCTCTTCTATGACACCAGCCTGCAGCAACATATCTCGGAATAAGTATATGATGAAATTAAAACAAAATTTCTTTTTATTGTAGGAATAGATTACAAAGCCTAGACATGATTTTAGCCTACAATTGCTTTTTACCAATGCAATAGACTCAACTGCAAAGCGTTGACAAGCAAATTCAACTTTCAGCTGCTAATACGACGTTTTACATTACAATCTACTAAATTTTATCACTTTAACACAAGAAATTTGGAGTCTTTGAAGATATTTACAAGTGCACTCCTAAACTTAATAGGTAAGCCTAGCACCATATATCTGAAAAGATCACCAAGCGTAAAAGATGACTGATGGTTCAATAAGAAAAACGAATACGACAAGCAAGTTACGTCTAGCATATCAAACCATCCACATGTCAACAGTCGGTGGACAAAAAATAAAATGATCAACCAGCTTCAAGGACACAAATCAATGTGTTACCTTGGTCATTTCTTTACTAAATTCTTGCATTGTTATAGCCACCTCAGGAGCCTTCATCAGATTATTGACAAGCTTCATGACCTCAGCACTCTTTGATAAATGTCCCACAGTGCGAGCAATGGCTGCAAAATCCATTGTGAATGAAAGCTCAAACTTGAGGTTTATAGGTGCAAAACAGAATCCAAAGTTAAAAGAAAAGGAAGTGGTCACACAGACACATATTTAGAAAAGTCAAAGCAGACTAAAAAAAATGACTTCTGCTAAAGCAAAGATCCACAAGTAGAAAGGAGTTCAAATAAATTTAGATTGTCAGATAACAATTGATCATGAAGTAGGCTTGTGGAATCAAGGGAGAAGAGAAAGGGGGGGGGGGGGGGGAGAGAGAGAGAGCATAACAAGCAACTATATATGGGTGCTTTAAAATATCTTTTAGGGGAAAGATTTCTAATTTGTAGGATGTTATAGTCAAATGAACATGCTTGGATTGGTATAAAAATTCATATTTTGAAACTGAATTTGGGAAACTACAAAAATCTCTGTGAAGTTTCTAAGATTTTGCACTATTCATGCAGTGGCTAACTCAAATAGGTTTTTGTGTCTACATACCGTGCCAGGCCAGTAACTGTGTACTTATTTCCAAATAAAATTACAAACAATCCCCACTTCTCACCCATCTTATAAAACTCTTTCAAGAAAACCAATCCAAACAGACCCAAGATTCAGAAAAGAACGAAGATCCAATTTCGGAGTAATTGATTATTAAATGCTGACAGCATTTGAACTTAAGTGAACTCCATAAGCTGCTATTAAATCAAATATCCTTTTCCTTCATGCAGTTTAAGCCAGCATCATGATCTCTTACTCTAATGATACCATCATGATTTAGTGAACTTATTGCAAACAATATTGTAATTTAGCTGGCCTCTTTCCTCACCAAAAAAGGTAAGAGGGACGGGAGTACATAATCAGTCAATATCAATTGGTTGCAGCTGTTCATCAAGTAAACATGAGACCCAGTTCCCAGGTGAAGAATGCAAAACCAACTCAATGCACACAGATGAATATTGGTTCACAATAAAACCTAAACATACAAGAGGAAAGAACAGTCATAAAATAGAAGCAGGATCATACCAACACTTTCTCCAAGATGCATTGATATTGAATTCATCTGTGCCTTATTCTCGTAAAGACGGTTCACTGTCTTTCTAGATCTCACAAGTTCTTTAGCAAGGGACTGAGATGAGTACAAAAAGACAAAGAATGTATCAATAAAGGCTGCGAATTGTTCATTTACACAGTACACAGCACGCAATGACAACAGTAATAACCTATGACAGAGAGCTCAAAATGTCATAATCAATGTGATATTGAGAATACAGAAGATGAACTGAAATATACAGCTACAAGCAACCTAAAGAAAAAAGTATAAAATTCCTCCACATCTCAAAGTCTACCTTCTTCTGTTTAAGTTCATGGGGCATTGCATCCTATTGAAGTTGCATTCATATCAATGACTTACAAAGGCAAGCATTGATCCATCCACTTAAATGTCAGACAATGAGGTACAAAAATAAAGGCTTTGGGTAAGGGAAAGGATATCAGTTTAGTAGAAAAACAACCCAAAAACGTCTTTTTTCCCTTCAATAACTTCCTAAAGAGCTTGAAAGAGCATCTCCTTTTACTTTGCTCATAATCACTTGATACAGCTCCTAATCTGTTCCAGAGAATTGGTGCACAACAAGAACACTTTGCAGACAAACAATACAAAAATCATTTTGACACATTATTTCACCTCATCTCAGTTTCATGATGTGAAAGATTGTAAATGAATTGTAGCTAAGCATTGTGAATGATGGGTTTTTGGGCCTTACAAGTGAAATACATTTGATAGCTGCCACAAGAAACTTCATTTAGACTCTCCTTCATTTGAAAAACGTTTCTTGGAACATCCAAACCAGGATGAAGAAAAATGTCCAACAGCTCAAAATTCAGAAGTCCTAAGAAAGGGAAAGACATTCTCTACTCTCCTACACACCAATCAAGAAACCTCAAATTCTCACCAGGTGACACCTTAGATCACTACTCAGTTTTCAGTCAGATGACTAGGGATATTGCAATAACAATGAACCAAAATCCTTTGACTCCTAAAACCATGTAATAGAAAATCATCTTGCCATAATTTTTGTATCATTGCAAGCTGTAAACATCAAATTGTACTATTTTGCCTCAAATCCAAACAAAAATCTAATTTTTATCAACTATGACATCTGCACTTAAAATTTCTCTTTTAACACCTGGTTGTGTGGCACGACTTGGCCAAGCCATCAACCAAGCCATCAATCCATCGTTACCAAACATAAAGAATTAATCACTGAGAGCAGATGCACTGCATGAGAATTGCACCACCACTTCAGCAGGGGTTAACACAAAGCAGCACAAGTCCTAAGAGTATGAAGTGCAGTAAATAGCATTTACCTCTGCATAAGCAAAAATTTTCTTTCATCTAACAAAAGGGAATCAATCAATTAACAAGCTAAACTACACAAAAACTGGAGTATTTACACCTAGTCTCCATTGCACAAAATCCATTTCAAAATTCAGTCTCTGCTGCAAATTTGAGTCAACCAGTCCTATAGGATCACTTTGTAGACACAATCAACAAACGGCAATAAAAAAAATTCACTAGATCATGCAAAATAGAAAAAAAAAAAATCGATCTTTCACATGTAAAATTCAATGGTTCCCATAAATTCAGTAAATTATCAGAATACTCGACTAAAATTCAAAATGGTAAGAACATAGATAAAAATAAAACAATAAGCACAATTACTAAAAGCAATACCTTGGTGTACCAAAAAAAGAAAAAGAAAAAAGCAATACCTTGGCAGAACCCATGTCATTTCTCTTTGCTGCTTCTTTAATTGCTTTCTGCACATTCTTCTCTTCTTTCTCTGTATATCTAATCACAAAACAAAACGCCCCAATCAATCAGTCAATAAATTTTTTTCGCCACCAAAAAAGAAATGCAAAACCCAGATCAGTAATCACATCTTATGATCAGAGTCATCATATATACCTCGGATTTGGCGCTCGATATTGCGACACTCTTGACGGAGACGACGCTGCCAATCTCTCAATAACTGTTGCGGGTTAGGCTTCGGCTTTATCATATTCATCACTTTCTCCATCCTTTCCCTCTTTTTTTTCTGTAAAACCCTTAAACCAGATTATCTCTATTCCCCTGCAAAACGATCGGAGCGGGATTTGTTGCTATATAATTGCGTGTTTTCTGTACCCCAGTGGAGGAGGATTCCGATTCTTTAACTCGATGATGGGTTGACGATGTTGATGATTATGGTGGTAGTGAAATTTCTGGACTTTTGGCTTTTCTTTTTTTTCAGAATATTTTTTTAATCTATTTCTCCAAAAAATTGATCAAAATTTTTTCCCTTTTTTCGTTTTTCCGTACAAGCTTCAAAAATTTATTAGCAATTAGGAATTCCGAATTTATGACTAACTAGTGTGACGATCAGCGGGTTCGTGAGTGGTTTCGTTGGGTGACTTCGCTTTAAAATTTTGTTTTGCTTCCTCGACGCTTTCACGCGCTGTCTCTTTGGAGTTTGACCAAAGGTAAAAGCTGAAGTATTGCTTCCAAAAAAAAAAAAAAAAAAAACTTTAGTATTTGACGATTTCTAGAACACTATCAGTCATAGAGTGCGTTTGGACTGGAGATTGTTTGGAATAAATTTTCAAAAAAATATTATAGTTAATATTTTTTTGAAAATGATATATATGAGATAAAAAATATATTAATAATGTAAACAAGTCAATGTGTGTAAATAATATGTAAATAATATGTTAAGATGAGGAAACATTTATCTAAAAATAACTGGACAAGTCCAAGATTGATGTCAAGTTTTTGTTACACAATTTAGAGGCAATTAAAGTAGAAATTTAATTTTATTAAGGGGATAAGACTCGTTATCATAAATTGAGAAATTGTAGAATCATCCATGAGATGGGTAGAAATGTAGGCAAAAAACTTCATTCAATTTTGTATAGGAGAAGTTTGGATTCAACATTTAATTCCATCAATCTCTTATTAATAAGTCGTATATTCTAAGGATGCAGTCTGATAAACTGATATTTGAAATCTGAAATTTGAATTTATTAAAAAGCCTAAGTTATTAAGTATTAAATCTGATATATTTGCCTAAGTTATTAAGTATTAAATCTGATATATTTGAATGCATATAAGTAAATAATTTACCACTTTTTTTTGAAGTAAACTTTGTTTATAAAATTCAGTGTCATTTAATTATTTCAGATATTAGATTTTTTGTTATCAAACGCATCTGAATATGTTAAAATCTAAATTCATTAAGTTTAAATGCTGAATTTAGTTAAATTTAAGTCATGCAATATATGCAGGAATTTGCCCTAACCTTGAAATGGGGTAAAATTCCCTTTTCTAGAATTTCTAATTACCAAAAAAAAAAAGAAAATTGTAATACTCAAAAATGAAAAAGGTGGAGAGAACCTATTTTGCTTGGAATCAAGACAATCCAGGATTATACCATTAGTTTGCGCATTAATGTAGAGAGTCATTAAACAGAGAAGACGCCGGTTGGCCTGTCTAGTGGCCCACAGTATGGACTTTGATGAGGCCCAGTATGTCTTTTCCTTCAGTACACAATGCCCATTAAATCCATTGGTATGTTTTTAGCTCAGGGATGTTGGGGAGGAACTTATACGAACAATCATCAAAGTCCACGTGCTGAAGGGTTTTAAGATACTATGAAAAGCCCAAGGGCCAACAAGCCGTTGTCCATCCGAATGACCCATTGAGTAACTGGGAGCCGAAATGAGTTGTTTATTAGAGAGATCCCTTCATATTCCAAGAGTTTTGAAACCAAAGTTCAAATAAGCTAGGCTTGCATGTCAGTGCATAGCCTCATAAAAAATATCACGTTTTGAATTTATTTTATATGAATCCAAACTCAAGTCATGTATTTTTTGTATTAACCAAATATAGTTGAATGAAGCAACCAATAACCGATACATGTTCTATTACATCTAAATAAAGTTGCAACATCGACAAAATTTTGAACTTTAACTACAAATAAAAAAAGGAAACAATTACCATGAAGTTAGTAAGCTATATGAAATGCAATCATTTGATTGGATTTAGATCAACAAATCTTCTTAATTCCCATATAAAATAGTAACATACGAAATGATAGAACAAGGGATATTTGATGCTACCATACTGAGTAGAAGTGTAGCAGAGCAAAAAAAAAAACTATATTTTAAAAATTATAGTATTTTAGTACAACACACTAAAATATAAATAATCCATTTCACAATATGACACATATGTACATATAAGCCCTAGTGTACATGCGTTTGTGTCTATATGCGTGCGCGTGAGCGTATCTATGTATGTATATGCAAATGAAATTTTAAGTGAGTTGAGCTTAGCCCAAACTCAAGTCGCATTCAGATTGAGTAAAATATTTTGATCCAAATTCAACTCAACTCGCTTGTGCAAGATTCAATCCAATAAATTTAACACCGAGCGGGCAGAGCTCGGCCAATCCAATTCTATTGACAGACCTAATTGTAAGACGTTCCCACATTATTTCATCTTTGAAGACAATGTAAATTGTATATTTACCCAAATTCTAACTATATTCTATTTTTAAGATATTAATAGTTATACTTTTGTGGTTAGGCTATATCATAAGACTTAGAAGTAGGAAAGTTTGTAGGAATTGGGAGCCAAATTATTATAATTCCAAGATCACATAGCATTGTGCAACATTGGCCAAAAAAGGGGCGCAGTTTATAAGTAAAGTATAATTTGTCCTATTGGGACAAATAACAACATAATGGGCACACAGGAGAATAAAATTAATAAGAAGACTTTTTGAAATGAATGTTGAGAAGAGATTAAGAGTAAATTAAAAAAAGAAGCAATCGCTACTGTGAAACAGTGCTTCTGGTGCTGAAACGGGTCTCGCAAATTCCGCTAATTAATGAAGAGAATTGGTAGCTTTGACGCGTGAATGACTTGTGCAGCCTAAATTGATTAACGTACAAGAATGAATCAAGATCTTATTGGTGGCTTAATCTTACAAGTCAGTACCTCAAATTCTCATTTAAGCTGACATAATCAGATTCTTCATTTTCATTAGTAGCATCATTAACTTACCAAAATGAGCCAATCGTTTGTTTCGGACGTACATTTCCAACATATAAGCCACTAATTCTGCTTTAATCATCCCAAGAACCAGACCAAAGAAAAAAAAAAAAAAGAAATTCATTTTCCAAACGACAGGTTACCAATCCACGATTTGAGGATCAATATTGAATTCAAATACCAGAAATCAACAACTCAAGATTCATGTTTTCTCGTATTATGGGATTTCTCTGTTTGGATTAACAGATGAAAAAAAAAAAATCACTAACGAACCCATGCTTCGTCCTTCATTTCTTGAAGCCGCAGCAAATTTTGTTTGAACCCACATTTCTGATCTCTGTCAACACAAAAACACACATCGGAGATAAGTGTTTGAGCGTTCCTTTTATTGTTGTCGGGACTGCTGCTGATTGTTTTGGTTTTCTTAATGGAGCCCAAGGCCAGATTATGATGAACAAAAATCTAATTCGGCATTTGTCTCGTACGACCCTGTGTCTGATATCAGCATAACTATTTCCCAAGGGACAAATTTATCAGTTGATCGTTGCTGATCTAGGCCCCGGATCTTTTTTGTCCGTTGAAATCTTTCTTGACGTAAAAAGTAGTATATCTATAGCAACCATGGAAGAAGCTGACACCAAATTGTTAAACCTGCCAAACCAGTTCATCTAAGTGCGTTCATACGTATACCGCATAGAGTCAATTAACTTGCATATTTCTTTCGTAGAAGCTACAAATTAAGGTAGGGGCGATGAGCTCAAAATTGCTCACATTCAGTACAGTCATGCAGCGATGGATGTCACGTCGCACAGATGAAGATTGAAAATTATGAAGAAAGATGTGTAAGGTGAACTTGGGATCATTTACAGAATTTAATTTTCACACATTCAAATCAATTTGCAACCAGAATATGTGTAAGGTGAACTTGTAGAGGTGTTCAAAATGATTCAGAAATTCAAAAATCCGCATAATCTGATCTACTTTGATTCGCGTTTTGCAGATATCTGATCCATTCGATCATAAGCATATCAGAAGGTGATCAAATAGACATGTAGATAGTTTCATAAGCATATCATAAGCATATACGATCCCATCCACTTACACTTTTTATTTTTCATCTTATTCAATCAATTTTGACACTAAAACTATATATTAATGTACACTAATTTCACCTCCTTTTCTCATTTCTTATGTCTAAATTCAATTATCGATGACAACTTATCTATGTGGTCTTAAGTGTTTGAACATACTGTCATAAAATTCGTGAACAAAATATTTACTTTTACTTATTTTGCTAAATTAATGAACAAAAGTCATTTATCCCCCAAAAAAAAAAGAATGATAAAAATTGCTCGTATTATGACAAAATTTCTTAATTCATTTAGACTAATATCGTCTATATAACTAACTTACACATGATTTTTTGTGACATTCCTATACTTTTATAATCCCTTTACTGGCTTGTCGATTATTTAAATTGGTCACTGCAGGCAAAATAACAGAGAGAATTATTCAACCATTTGATTTGTGGACCTCCTTGGATTACGTGGTTTAGGCTAAACTACATAGTTTAATTGGTTCTTCTTTTTTTCATTTTTTTTTTGTTTTATATTGAGGCAAATGGAGTCGGCAATGTATAGTTTTCCCCAACTTTTATTGAGATTGGGTGGTTTGACTCATAATTATTTCTATCCCCAAGCCTTTACTTCAATTTTTTTTTGAGCTACATTCATTATTGAGCACTAAGTGACAAAGAACAATCATATGCAGAACAAGGCCCGAGGAATCATAGGTTACAGACGTTGGTACTTGGAAGGGGGCGATGGCCTTAAATGATTTCACGATTTCATTTCTTCAGGTTTGAGCCAACTGTTTGCTAGTGCTAGCAATCAACCTAGGATTCTACTGTGACCTCACAATCCCTATCGTCGTTTTCCCGTTTCGGGGCTGTAACTGTGCATTTTGCGCAAGTACTGGTTGTGTTGTCATCATTTGATTTGATTTGATTAATCAAATTTGAAAAGGAGTCGATGTTCATCCCTTGGACTAATTAATCAATTCCAAGCTGTAATTGCTACTATAATTTCTCTTCTTTCTTTCATGTTAGCAATAAGTACTTTTATCGACAATTGAGCATTCAATTCTAAATAATTCGATCCATTTCTTTTCACTATCTTTTGAAGAATACATGGAAAAACTTATTGAATTTTCTGGTAACTCAATTCATCCTAATATTATTGAATGCAAATGAAGATGACTGTTATATTACTAGCAGGAAACAAAAATGCATCTTCAGGCTTCTCAAAGTGTCGGCAGAAAGGACCCCATTCAACTCACAGTCAAGTAGGGCATGGCCGGCCAACAGTTGAACAAACCATTTTGTCTAAACTCCAAAATTCTGTCGCAGTCTATAAAATACGCTTGAGAAAAGATAGCAAATTAATTATATGATTTTGATGAAAGTTATAGCCCACCCAATCTAGTCCAATGATTTACATTAAAGTATTTTGCTTGCTGTGAAATATCCGTACAGGAAATACATTCAAGTTGTAGCTTCAAAGTCTTTTAGACTTTATAGGTGGTGGGTTCGACCACCTAATCATACCACCACTCGTGATCATATTACCTCCATCTTTCCCACCCAGAGAGAAGAAAAAATTGAGAGCAAAAAGCTTGATGACGTTGCATGCTTAATTATAGATGTCTTAAAATCATGCAAAAGTTGATGGAAGAAAAGCTACTGTTCAGTGTCATTTCATTTGATAAGGTCCCAAAAAAATCTTAGTTCTAACTAATTAGGAAACAGGATGGACGTCTTGAACAGAAACCTAAACAAGATTTGCTCAAACGTTGCCCGTGAGTTATTGAGATTTCCAGGAGAGTAGCTTTTGTGCCGTGAACTGCCGGATCAATTTATCGCTTCTACATAACTTCTAAGCTTCAACAAAAATGGCCATAATGACCCAAATTTTCAGCTTCCATGTCTGCAAATTTTTCCTTGTGGGACTGGATAATGAAGATGGTTATTTGACTAGTACGATATGCTTTCACACTTGGAAGTTACAAATCGACGATCTTAGCGCATTCTTTTCTCTTTTTTTCGTAAATAATTTCGTGTACCATTTGGACGTGAATTTGTACATAATTCGTTCCCAGTGAGATTAGAATTTACGGGCTGCCAATGGACAACAATAAAATGGTAGACCCTTTTTGCACAAATTCTACTGAATTAGTACTACAGGAAGACCTTATTTGAGGTTAAAAAAAAATGATCTTCTCATATGTCCCTATTTGTGTATTAAAACAGCAGTGGCATTAAAAGCAATGTAGGGAAAATGCATATATTAAATGTATATGGCAAGGCAATGCTAGGAAAACAACAGCTCTGCCCACTCAAAATTCTATCTCTGACTCCATAAGCCCAATGAAATTGCTGAATACCTTACATAGCTAACATGGCTTCCAGATGGTGTCTCAGGAATAGGCAGAAGTCATTCATCCATTCTACTCTACAAGTCTTCAACACCAAGAATGGAAATTAATGTCCTTGTTTTTGGATAGGTGGTGATAAGGAAGTTCAGACTTCAGACTCCTTTATGTTGGGACATACACAAGAGATAGGCTAGATGGTATGTTCGATTAGTATTCCCTCGCTCATGTCAAAAGAATATGAAAACCCGTGAACTTTGAACAGTAACAAAATTCAATTTAATCCTTGGATTGGATGGTAGTTTTCTATGTTTGTATCCTCGCTCTACAAGAAGAAATCTAAAAGGGTTTCTTTCTTTCTTGGATCTTTCATTTTTAATGCAGAATCTGAAAGCCAACTCCTTGTAATTTCGAACTTGTCGGGACAGAATTCTTTCGTTAAATTGATGTATAACCCCATTGACAAAATCCATAGATTTGAAATCTTCGTGTGTACGGTAGTCATCAATGAAAAGTGAAGAATTACAAAAATATTGGCATGTAAGGATCAAAACGCAGAAAATCTACTCCCCATTTTTCAATGTCTGCGAGCCCTTTATTTGTCACGGGGGCGGAAAAACGGCAGCTCTATCGAAACGTGTTGGTTTGTGTTTGTATTTCAGAAGGAGGAGGTTCAGTTCAGACTTCAGACCACGCCTTGCTCTTGCTGTTTGTTCTTTATTATTGTTTCATGAGATGGGCAATAATTAATCAATCTGGAAAACAGATATATTATTATTGTAAAGTGCTTCTTTTCTTTTAAGTACTGTATATCTTTACACCAATAGGACAGCAGAAGATAATCAATCCTCCGAGGTAATTTCAGTTTTGTTGATATACAATTAATAATGATCCAGCCAGAGACAGAGTATTGTAGAAGAGGTTAATTAAAGAGTGTAATTTGTTCCATTTGCCTCAAGATTCTAATTTTAGTAACTTCCAAATAAATTAGGACAAGTGGTCACTTTCTGAAATTCTTAAAATAAAAGTTAAATAGTAACGTTACAGTAACTTTCAAATTTTCAAGATGGTGCAATTTGCAACCTAATTATTATTATATTGTGGAATAATTTGCAACCCAAAATAATTAGCTCTGAAGATTTTTTTTTTTTTTGGGAAGAAAATAATGCCGTGAGGAATGATGAATTACTCATCCAATATGATCAAGAAAAGCAGAGTGGTGGAATTGTATTTGTAGCTAGGCTTTGCTCAGGAAGTTTATGAATCGACTTATAGTTTGCAAATTAATAGCAAACTAGCAAGATTTTTAAGTCTAGAAGCATAAAATCTCAATTTTTCTTTTCTTTTTTTTTTTTTGGGCGTTAAAGGCAAGAGTTTCCATTCCGCCTTGCGCATGACCCATACAACAGAGTTGCCGTTCACACCAAACTTCTCATGAAGCATCTTCTTGCATAATAACGCTCTCAGGATTAACAAACTAATGGACTTGATTAAAATGTATCTTAAGAGGCACTTTTGTTGCATAAACTTGCTCAGTTCCTCTAATTAATTAGGTCCTTCTAAATATTCTAACAAGTTAAAAGTTAGATGACAAAAATTTCTGATTTTTAATTATCATGGACTCCATAATCTGCTCCACAACTAGAAGCCCACGCGTTGCAGCAATAAACTACTATACCAGGCAACTGAAAGAGATCATCTAATTAAACCGAATTGAAGTTCCACTTCCATCGTAAACAAAAAGGAAAGAAAAATGGAAACGAATAAGATACGGCCTTGATAGTTTCTTCTCCAGCAGCCATATTTGACAATATTGAAAATTTTGCAACTTTTGTCTCTTTGTGCGACCTCCTTATTACTTCATTTCTATGGCAGAAGTGTAGGACCCCGATGCTGTCTCCTTATTTATAGCTCCTTCAATCCCTTTGCAATTCCATTCCATTCGAGGACAGACACATAAGTTCTCCACTACACTTTATTCATACATCTGCGTGCATTATGAGCAGGGCACATTAGCTCCAATTTTTCGTACGCATTTTGTGCGCTCTTTCAAGAGTTATGGCCCTGATCTTCTCTCGTTTTTCATAGTTTTCCTGCTCCCTCCAAGCAACGCTCAGCGGCGATCCACCTTCCCCGGGCTACTACCCTAGTTCAAGAGTTGCTTCACTAGGGTTTAACCAGGGCTTTAGGACCCTTTGGGGTCCTCAGAATCAAAGGGTCGACCAAGGCTCTTTAACAATCTGGCTTGATAGAAGCTCAGGTATGATTAGGTCCTACCTACAATCTGGCTGCCACCTTTTTTGGCCTCTCTCACAATCGGTAATATCATTGCATTTTCTTTTTCACAAATTGCATGCAGGCAGCGATTCAAATCCCTCAACCGATATCGATCTGGTTATTTTGGTGCTGCCGTCAAGCTCCAACCTGGTTATACAGCTGGAGTCATTACATCTTTCTACGTGAGAATTTAACGAAATTTATTACTCCTAAACTAACCTTAGTATATTAAGTAAAAATTTATGGTGATTTTGCATACTGACAGCTTTCAAACAATGAGGACTACCCCGGGTACCATGATGAGATTGACATCGAGTTTCTCCGGACAACTACTGATAAGCCATACACATTGCAAACAAACGTCTACATGAGAGGAAGTGGAGATGGAAACATTGTAGGCCAGGGAGATGAAGTTTCACCTTTGGTTCGACCCCACGAAAGATTTCCACGACTATGCTATACTCTGGCAGCCCTAACGAAATCATGTCAGCCGCAGTATACTTTATAACACATACATAATACCATGAAGTTTCTCATCATAAATTACATTTATTTTCCTCTACTTTGTCAAAATTACTTTATACGTACTTGATATCACTGTTCACTCATGCATGTAGGGCTAGGGACCTAATTAATTTTTCGATGGAATAATAGCATGGCAAGATATGTCCATATCGAACATTTACTTCAGCCTTAGAAATAAAAGTCTCGGAGGCGGTAACTTTTATATATATATATATTCCAAGTCCAACGTCAGGTCAGTCCTACTTCGATATTTTTATGTCCTAAAATCAGTTTTGTCCGCTCTCTAGAAAGCACAAAACTTCTTCATGCTGCTGAGGAAGAGTAAATATACTTGAATGGACAGGTTTGTGAAAAAAAAAAAAAAGAAAAAGAAAGAAGTTGCTTATATTACTCTAATTTGCGTGGAAGAAGAAAAGGCAGTCGTAAGTGTGACCTACACTTCTTGTTGATTGTGTATTTACTAATCTTGCAAAAAAAAAATTCTTTAGTCGATTCATGCATCCAGTAAAGAATGGCATTTAGTTGTGAGCTGACACGGATTGAAAATGACCAGCTGAAAATCACAAGCAATTTACACGCAGCTACATTTTTCTGAATCCTCATGTGCTTCATCGCCATCATATATAGCAATCATTCATGCTTCATTTTTTTTAAACAATTTTTTTCTTGTTTACGTGCTGTGTGACAATTTTCTTATGATGTGATTCTCAGATTTTTTGTCGACGACGTGCCAATAAGAAGATACCAAGAAAAAGTGATGCCACATTTCCTCTAAGACCTATGTGGGTGTACGGCTTCGATTTGGGATGCATCATCATGCGGCCACGAGGAAGCGAAAATACAAAGCTGATTATCAGTACCAGCCCTTTGTTGCGGAGGTACAACAATTTCAATTAGGTGGCTGCCACCACCAATGCGCCTGCCACTTGCCCCCCTATATCTGCTTCTCCGGCGGGTCCTAGTGGGCTGAGCAGCAGCAATATGCAGCCATGCATGGATCCAGAGGAACTACAAGGTTTATGATTATTGCGCCGATCCTAGCAGAGACCACACCCATACACCTGAGTGCTAGGTCTTATTGGGGGGAAAAAATTTTAAATTAATAAAAGAATATATCAAGGTCGAGCCTCAGCGATTTAGAAGGCCCAAATCCCCGTTTTCTTAAATTTCACTCTTTCCTTATTTAAAAATTTAAAAAAAAATATGAAGTTGTTTTAATTGTCTGGAGTGTTTTGAGATGGGTCCACTTGCCAAGAATAGATGCAAGAGTAGTTGAAGCGTCCAGGCCTCCAAGATTGGGAAGCGGAATCCATTTTGTTTTGTTTGTTGCAATAAATATTTAATGTAATGCTCATGTTATTGTATTTGGAATATGGCTGCAGTAGTAGATAGAGAACGTAAGAAGTCATGACACCAAAAAAAAAAAAAGGAAGATCAAAGATGTATGTGTCGTGAATTGGGAGTGTCTTCATGAGGTTTAATTGTAGATGAGCTCAAATGTATGATTATCTTTTCTTGGTTATAATAAAGAAAATTTGCGAATTCATTTATGGAAATCACATTCCTCCAATTTCCAAATCCTTTAGAAAAGAAAAAGTACAAAGATTCCAATTATGTTACCATACTCTGTATAAGTCCATAGCTGAAGCAGCCACTTGACAGGCCAGAGTTCCATGACTGCAGTAGCCACAATTTTCCTTTGCACCATCGAGCAACAGTAGCCTTAACAGAGGTAAGAACAGCAGCCACGATATTGACTGCAGACACAGGGATATGATGACAAACAGACTGATTCTTGGTTCTCCAAATATGATAAATTGCAGCCAGAGAGAAGACAAGTTTTTTAACCTATTGAATCTGGAAATGAGTTTGTTGCAGCTCACTATGCCATGTTAGTGGAGCTATAGGTATCACGCAGAGTTAGTAGAAGTTTTTGCCACACCTTGCTAGAAGCGGAACAGTTTAAAAAAAAAAAAAGAAAGAAAAAGAATCTATCTTCATCCCCCAGGCCCCATAGAAAAGAAAAAACAGTTTAATGCTTCATAGTTCCAGCAGTGTTTGACAGGTTCACAAAGCTCAGAATCTATCTTCATCCCCAGCCCCAAGCCTTTAATCTATCTTTAGTTGTCAACCTTCCCTTGCATTAAAAAAAAAAATTAAAAGACAACACAAATTGGTTTAATTGGTAAGGACGGATCACGTTATCACAAAATGTCGTATGTTCGAATCCCGTGACTATGTTGTTGGGCTGCTGCCAAGAACCCTTATAAGCAACTTATAATTCAAGAGCATGCTCTGACTCTTGGTCATGACCGGAGTTAAACCCATTCAAACTTTTAATTTACCCAAAAAAAAAATTTAAAAACCTTGCATAATAGCCAAAACGATAAAGGGTAGCATGGCACAGATTTTTTACCCCAAATTAGGCGATGCAGGTTAACTCAATTACCAGGCTGCCTGAATTGAGTCACAGCAGAGTTAACATAAAAGTGAATTTTCCAGAAGCAGGGCAGTCCAATGCACTTCATCCCTATCACCAAGACTGGGGGCAAAATACTCAACTTCTATCATGTCTACCTAACAGAACTCTTGTTTATTTTGTAGGCGGCATCTTGGAAACAAAGAGTGTGTCCCCTTAGAAAATCGTCTCTCAGAAGTCAGAATTTTCAAAATGTCTTTAAATTGCTTTATTCCAAATCTATACAATTGGATACGAGATAGCATAGTAGGTTTGTGTCCCCTTGACTTTTAAACTGAAACTTGGTAATCAAAATATACGGCGGGGCATACGATTAATGAATAACGAATATTCAAAGAACCAAGACATTTACATGGTCGGAAGATCGGAACATCTTTGAGAGTGTTAAGTTGGATTTGTACCATTTTTCGAGTAAAAGATGTTTCATAATCTGAGGCATTCCCATGAAAATAAACGTCAGCAATGTTGCTTTCCTAATAGTAGCAATTAGTACATCACTGCTAAATTCCATTACTGAGAACTAGTAACACGGTATTCTTGATTGAATTATTGAGACGACGACAATGATAATTCAATCAAGAATACGACCACAATTCTAAGAAATACGCTAAACAGTAGTTCGATTTTTCCTCATCCCTACGTTTGATGTCTGACTAGTATTTAATGCCATACGACTTTTTCATCCTAGTTGTATCGTACAAGCATGTTTTTATTTTCTAAGGTTGGTATCTATCGGATTATGGACCATGGTTATGATGCAATGTAGAAGGAAATTACATGCACAAGCAGCAGGACCAGAATTATGGACCACGGTTTGTAATTTTTTTTCTCTTTTGTGGCGTTTTCAATGAGCAGAAATTTTGTATCTGCTAAATATTTTATGCTTCTCGGCTGCTATTGGAATAATGGAAGTGTCGGTACAATTTGATACGACTTGTTCAGTAGAAAACTAGAAACCTGGATCATATTTTTTTCTTCTCGTGTGCGTTGTTCATGTGGGATTCAGAGACAAAAATAAAGCCAAAGGTTTTCAAGATTTCTGATGATTTGCAAGTCAAATCTCAATGGATCCATCGGTTCTCGAAATTTTATCATCCAAGTATAATGTTCATCTTATCTTTGCGATTATTCATTATGATCCGTACTTCTTCCCTTTACACGAATAATTTTAGCATCCATGTGTTTTTTTTTTTTTTCCTTTGCTGGTTCCTTCAGACCAATTCCATACAAGACGCCTTAGAGTAATTAACTAGGAAAAAGGTAAAAACCTTTGGAAAAAAAAAAGGAACAAAAAACTTCATTTGCAATCCTTCCAACATATTTCATGGGAAAAAAATTATTGGGCTTGGCTTCTTGGTGACAATGCTGCAGACAGGAAAATTCCTACTAAAGATAGCCGGAGCTTTGGGCCCGAAGTAGCCAGCCACATCGCTTCCTCGTGACTATACTGACGAGAGGAGATGTGGGTCGAAAGCAACCACGAACTTATTGGGCTATTCACACGTAAAAGCCACAAGTTTGGTAGGTGTCACCCAGATTTAGCAAAAATTCATCAATTGCCTTTACTTGAAGATGGTTTAAAAATATTAGATATTGATGGGTTTTTTTTTCACTTAGAGTGCCTCATCCTTTATTTGGCCAGACTAATCCCTAAAGCTAGCAAAGCCCCGTCCAGGGTGCACGGGAGTCGAATCCAAAACCTTGCATTAAAGACTGACGACTAGTCCAAGCCGAACTAACCGTGGGGGACAGATATTGATAGTTAACAATATCAGAAAATCCCTTAATCCATCTTCCTTTGGACGACTGTGATTTTTACGTCTCTCTCTCTTTCTTTTCCCCTCCAGTTGGAGGATGTTCAGAAATTTTCAAGGTGCTTTATTGAACATGCTGATGCTTAATTCAACATGCTTATATAAATATATATATATATATATATAAAATATAGATGCAGGCTTGCAGTATTATGTGTAAATTTCGAATTTTGAACTTACGAGCAGTTGTATCATACTTTTTTATGTTTGAGATGTAAAAAAAAAAAATAGATTTGGAAGAATTATTGGTTAAGAGCGGTAATTTCCTATTTTTCTTTTGTGCAGTTTCTGGACCTGTACCTTAAGTGGACTGCCATTAAAAAAAAGGCGGATTTGGTTCAAACTGCTAACGGCCCACCCATTCGCCGAAAAAATTGGTAAGAAGAAATAGTCCAATGGTTTTTTGTTAACGGACCAGAGCTAGAAAGCAGGCTAGAGACACAAATTTGCTTCGTTCAGGTAGTTACTTTGCCTCTTTATTTAGCTGCTCATTTTGTCACCTATGGAAGCTTCACGGAACAACCCCCAGATTTAAGCTTCAAAGCAATTGTCTAATATTAGTCAAAAGTTTGGTAATTTTCGTGTGTTCTCTGGACTTCTTCCTTCTATAATCACGCGGATTCTACGTCCAATCAATCGTATTCGTTCATGGACCAAATCTTATAGAGCCCAACAGGCTGGCCGAATTTAAAAGTCATCCATAGGATATAATTTTTCAGCGCTGGTACTGCATCTCCGACCTTAGCTCAGTTGGCAGAGCGGAGGACTGTAGTTGGCAAAACCGAACAGTTAATCCTTAGGTCGCTGGTTCGAATCCGGCAGGTCGGAAATTTTTGCTTCTATAATTTTATCCCCTCAAAAAAAATTTTGATTTTTTGCTCCCATGTCTATAAACCACCTTTATGCTATGGCTTTTGGTTGACTAAGCTCTTTGTCTTGTCATCCTTGCAGCGGATGATTTTATCCTTTATGTGTAGCTTATTGATAACAACATATTTCATTCAAAGGAAAGGAAATAATTTCTAGTGCCGCAACACATTTCGCATTTCTTTGAACAAATTCCACACACAGCGAGGCAACCCAAAACAGAACTGCAAAAGATTCCAGCCAGACCAAACACAGGCTTTGTTGTTTTGGATTTTTTTTAAAAAAAAAAAATTTTGTAATAATTTAATATATATAAAATAAAAAGACGATTAAAAAATGTATCTATAAAATATCGGAGCATTTTTTCTTTGAAAAATTGTAATTTAAACACACTTTAACGAAACCTTTGCTGGAAAATATTCTTGAAAAGGAAAAAAAAAAAAGGGGGAACCCAAAGCTTCTTAAAAAGGGTGCCCGGATAGGACCAAATTGGCAAAGTTGTGCTTGTTTGATTCCTATGTCCGTGACTACTACTGACCCGCTGACCCCTGGGGTTGAAAAATCGGTGGGCAATTCCAGTGGCCACCACCACCACGACCACCGCCATGCCCACCGCTCCGTCACAAATTTTCACCATAAAGGCACTCTCACACGTCTCAGCTGTCACTTTGTTGGACCTTTTAAACCCCTTTGTCTGACAAATTTGCTCCTCCTTCTTTCCTCGCTAAATAAATATTGATAATAGTAGTAACATGCAGATGCAGGCAGGCACAGCGCCAGTGCAGAGCAGATTCCAAATCCCCATAACAGCCATTCATGCATTTACAGCAGTATGAATGAATACCCTTAAATACACTACCGGTAATGCATTCACACCTCACAAACTCCCATTCGATTCCTTGATGCATTGCATTACTTGAAACAACAACGTATATCAATTCCTCATAAACCACCTTTACGTTCTTCGCTGAATATATATATTTTTTCACCTCAAATACATCAAAACTGTCTTTTTTTTGTTGTACAAAAAAGTTTTCAAAAAACAGCAATATAAACAGGAGCCTGTCTTTTTTACGAAAGTTTGGCATTGCACTATTATAAATGTACTAGAGGAAAAAAAAAAAAAAAGAAATGCTATACATTTATTATTTTGTACTACAACTTTTCAGTTTTCACATGGCACCTCCTATACATTTAACAACATATTCTTCTTTCCCGATTTTTTTCACCCCCCCCCCCACCCCCAAAATTACCTAATCTTCCACCAAAAAAAAAAAACATAAAAGATTAATACTATTCCTCTCTCTCACATGTACAATAGCCACTATCCCGCCAAACTCGAAAAATTATACTGGTACCACCAATGCGATGCCCAATGCCACAGAAACAGCCCCAC